CTCTCTCTCTGGTTGTGAGCCTGTGAGAACAGGGCTGGGCTTGCCTGGTCATTGGCATGTTCCTAGTGCTGCCCTTCCAGGGCGGGCACCACAGGCGAATGTGCTGGAAAACAGGCAACCAAGCCCTGGAGCTTGGACTTTGTCCGGTGGCACTGGAGGGCTTTAATCACCTGGGGGTCGGGTTGAGCCACACCTTAGAATCCCCAGTTCCCTCTCCACACCCCTCTCCACCCTGCCTTTCCTACCATCCTCCTCCTCCAGGAAGCCCTCCCAAACCCAGGTTGGGTCAGGCGACAGCTCCCGAAACCCCAAGTCCCCCATTCCAGCCCCATCGGCTCTGAGACAGAGTTCCACAGATCCGAAGCTCTGTGAGGTGGGTCCAGGGTCTCTTAGGAATCCTGGAGCAGGTGCTAAGAAACCCAGAGTGTGGCTGGACTTTACCCAGTTGCCACCTCCACACTGTGGCATTCTGGTCCTTCACCAGCCCCTCCCAGGTCTTTGTTGCTCTTCTTGCAAACACTGCCATATATTGTATCATTTAAAAAAAAAAATAAGGGCTGGGGACATAGCTCAGTTGGTGGAGTGCCTGCCTTGCATGCACAAGGCCTCAGCACTACAAAAGAAGAAAAATAAATAAATTGGGCTGGGTGTAGTGGCCCATGCCTATAATCCCAGTGACTCAGAAGGCTGAGATTAGGAGGACCGCAAGTTTGAGGCCAGCCTCAGCAGTTTAGCAAAACCACATACTTGGCTAGGCACAGTGTCGAGCACCTGAGGACCCAGCATTCAGGAGACTGAGGTGGCGAGGTCACTTGAGCCCAGGAGTTCAATACCAGCTTGGGCAATAGAGTGAGACTCTGTTTCAAAAGAAGAAAGAAAGAAAAGAAATAACCACACATGTGCAACGCCTCTGCTTCCTCACCCCATTCTTTAAAGTTCTTTTTATTGGGCTGGGGTAGCAGCTCAGTGGCAGAGCGCTTGCCTCGCACATATGAGGCACTGGGTTCGATTCAAAGCACCACATAAAAGTAAATAAATTAGGGGCTGGGGCTGTGTAGCTCATTAGTAAAGAAAGGGCTTGCCTCACACATGGGAGGCACTGGATTCGATCCTCAGCACCACGTATAAATAAATAAAAATAAAGGTATATAAACATACAACATTAAAAAATTCTTTGTAGTAAAATACACATAACATGAATTTACTATTTCAACCAGTTTAAAGTGTTCAAGCGGGTGGCATTAATACCTTCACAATGCTGGATGATCTTCACCACTGTCTAAATCCAGACCTTTCCCACTCACTACCCCAGAAAGCTCACTCCCACTCCCTCCCTGTCCCCCAGACCCTAGCAACCACTAATCTTCATTCTGTCTCTAAGCATCAGCCTCCTCCAGCATTTCATTTAAATGAGGTCACTCAGTAAGTGTCCTTTTTATTTTTATTCTTCCATGGTGCTCGGGATGGGACCCAGGGTCTTTTGCATGTTACGCAAGCACCCTGCCCCTGAGCTACAAGCACCCCAGCCCTAAAGCATCAAGTTCTCCAGGTTCACTGCAGGGTGTGTCAGCACTTCCTTCCTTTACATGGCAGCATAATATTCCCTCACAGGTACCTTTCACATGTCATTCTTCTATTCCTCCATAGTTGGGCAGTTTGGTTGCTTCCACCTTCTGGCCATTGTGAACAGTGCTGCCACGAACATTTGTGAAAAGAGATGGCTTGAACACCTGTGCTCAGTTACTTGGAGATACACCTGAGTGGTAATATGGTTATTCTAGGTGTAATTTATCATGAAACCAACTAACTCTTCTCCAGAGTGGCAGCACCACTTTCTAGTGGCCGGGGAAAGAGGGGCGTGACTTCTCCACATCTTGGCCAGCAAGCACTTGCTGATTTCCCCTTTCTGGATCCTACCCATGCTCGTGGGCGTGAAGTGGTATCTCATGGTGGTTTTGACTTGAATTGCCCATCTTTTCAAGTGCTTCTTGGATATTTTCTCACCACCTTTGCAATGTGACCCCAGCTCCCACCACCTCCCTGAACCACCATTCCCACATTCACAAGTCACTAGGCCGTGGGGTCAGCCCAGAGTATGCAAAAAGAAAAAGAAAAGAAAAAAGAACTGAATTCCCATTCTTTTCTCTCCCTCTCAGAAGATGACACCTTCCTCTTCTCCAGCCATTCTTCATCTTCTTGTGCCTTCTCTGGAGAGAAATGAGAGAACTTAGGCCAATTATTTAACTTCTCTGTGCCTGTTTCTTTTTTTATATTTATTTTTCAGTTATAGGTGGACACGATATCTTTATTTTATTTTCATGTGGTGCTGAGATCGAACCCAGGGCCTCTCGCATGCTAGGCGAGCACTTTACCTCTGAGCCACATCCCCAGCCCTACGCCTATTTCTTTATCTGTGAAATGAGGACAGCAGCTCCTCCTTCAAGGCCATTAGGAAGATTCAGTGTATATAAAGGCTTTAACGTGTGCCTGGCACCCAGTTAGTGTCAGGTAACCATTTAGCAGGGCAGAGGGGAAAGAAGGCCTAGGGGAGAGCTTTCCCACTGTGAAGGTGCTCAGAATAGAAGCGTTTGCTCTGGTATAAGATTTTAGGAAAAACAATCAGAAATTCTTTTATTAAAAAATGAATGAGGGCTGGAGTGGAGCTCAGTGGCACAGAACTTGCTTAGCATGCTAGAGACTCGGGGTTTAATCCCCAGTACCAGGGGGAAAAAAAAAGACTCTTCCTAAAGCTTCATATAATTTTGAAGTTGGGCATGAGGGCACACACCTTTAATTCCAGTGACTCAGAAGGCTGAGGAGGCAGGAGGATTGCAAATTTGAGGGCAGCCTGGACAACTTAGCAAGACACTGTCCCAAAACAAAAAAAAAAAACGGGGCGAAAAAGGAACCCAAGGGGAAAACAACCCCAACCCCGAAAAACGAGACATCAAAAGAAAGATTTTTAGGAGTGGTTGTACCACAAGTAAAGTGCTAGTGGACAGGACAAATTTCAGAGCAAGGCCACTGGGTTTGAATCCCTGCAAACATGACTTTGACAATTTGGTCACCTGTCTATGGCCCTGTTTCCACATCTGCAAACCAGAGATGACAAGAGCACCTACCACCTCCTGGTAGTACCAGTGGGTTAAGCATTGCTTGTAACTATAGCATCTCGGAGCTGGCAAACTTTCACTACGGCCAGGGGCGACTTCCATGGCCATCTGAACTAGGTTGCACAAATCCTGGTGCAAACTCAGATGGGGGAGGACTTCACAAGAGAGATCTGGACCCAACCAAGAATCCAGTCTCTTTGGCGGCAGGCAGTCCATTTCATTCTCTCCCTGGGACCTCTGGGAACAGAGAGTAATAACAAGAGTCAAATCCCATCAACTCTTTCCGCTGCCTATCATGGTGACCACAGGCCAGCTCCCTAAAGAGGGCCTGTCCTGCTTTTGATATTCTCTCCTCCTTCCTAGGAGCGCCTGGTGGGTCTCTCCAACTCCCCTTCTCTCAAGCATTACCAAGGAAATGGCCCCTCAGTGCAGTTAAAATACAGTGGTCACCTGTCATCCAGGGTTTGACATTCTGCAGTTTCAGACACCAACAAGTAACCATGATGTTAACCAGAATGTTAAATGGAAAAATTCCTGAACTAATTCATTAGTTTTAAATAATCTCTATTCCCATGTATTGTTGTTGTTTTCTTGGGGGAAGTTTGAGTTTGTTTTGAGGGGTGTTTTTTTGTACTGAGGACTGAACCCAGGAGGGCTCTACCACTGAGATACAACTCCAGCACTTTTTGTTTTTGTGAGACAAGATCTCACTAAGTTACTGACATTGACCTTGAACTTTGATCCTCCTGCCTCCTCAGTCTCCGGAATCACTAGGATTATAGGTGTGCCTACTGCACCTGTCTTATTACAGTACACTGTAATAATTGTTCTATTTTATTATTAGTTATTATTGTTAATCTCTTATTGTGCTGAACCTTCAAGGTCCAAAGTTTACAAAGATATATAAGCATCTACCCACCCATCCCTGTCTCATTCCCCACAGGCTACGGCTCCTACGACTTGTTTCTAAGCCTGTTATTTTCTCATCCTCACTTTTTACAATTTTAGATACTCTGCTCCCTTACTTGCTCCCTCCCCCAGTCGGTCTGAATACACAGGTTGTTCTGTGTCAGTTCATGAATCACTTCCTCACTCGACAGCTACTTCCTGTCCCCTTGTGGGATGGACCACAAAGATGTAGAGTCCCCCACCGATGGACAACTAGGTTGTGTCTACCCTTTTTGATTTTCCTTATGAACTTTTATTAAAACAAAACAACGCTACTCACCCTCCCCTCTTTGTAAACGTTTATCGAGAAACTAGCGAGTGCCCCAACCCTCTCCGGGTACTGGCCATTTGGCCACTGCCAGGGTCGCCGAGCTCTCAGGCTGCGCGTCGGCGCGGCCCTGCCTGACTGGAGCTGTCAGACGCCGGCCCCCCCGCCTTCTGGAGCCCCGCCCCGCGGCCCACCGGCTGTCGGCCCGATTCAAATCCAGCCAATCGCAGCGTGTAAACAAACTCAGGCCCCACCCCCGCGGTGAATAATTCCCGGGCCCCGGCGCGAGACCCATTTAACCCGGCGGGGGGGCGGGGCGGGATTGAGCTGTAACCACGCCCCAAACAAGGACCAATAGGCGATCAGGCTCCGCCCCCCGCACTTGCCGCGCTGAGGACCCGAGGCCGGGCTGGGCTCGCAGCTGCCTGATTTTGTCACCACCCGCGGTCCCTGCTCCCGGCGGGCCAGCAGGGCAGGGAGGTGAGGCAGCGCACTCCGCTGTAACAGCCACACTTAAAGGGCCGGTCAAGAGCAGAAATCTTCCTGGAATCCATACTTTATTTCCCTCCCTTTCTACCTCTGCCTGGTGGCTAAAACCCAGATCAAGGAACGGTCTTTGATGGACACTTTCTTTCCTCACCCCACCCTGGAGGGGCCACAGGAGTGCTTAAGGACTGGGCAAAGTTTTCGTTTGTTTTCCCTTGTTATTGAAGTGTTATGTACATACGAAAAAATGCACTAACGTGTGTGCTGCTCGACTGAAAACTAGAACTGCACGTGATGCTGGCATCCTCCCAGAGAGAGAAACAAGTTGGGTTGGCTAAGTTTAAGACTACAGTCGCCAGTGCAGCGGATGAGCCGTGAAGGACATTATTTTGACTTTCAGAGGTACAAAGTACTTGTTTAAAAACAAAACAAAAACACTTCTTTCGTTATGGGAGTAGTGATCTATCAACCATAGTGGTCCTGCTGCGTGGAAACTGCTCTGATGGGTGGGTTGGAGGTGCTGGGCTCAGTTAGAGATGAAGGGAGTTAGGACGTGGTCCACTTCATGCTAGACGTGAGAGTTAGTGGGAGAAGGGGCGCTCCTTGACCTGGAGGATTGGGAGAGGAAAGGGTTTTTGGAGCCAGTGCCCTGGTTGTGGAAGAGCAGCTCTCCAATTCACTGGACCCCTCCACACCAAATAAAGGGATTTCCTGTTGTTCCTTTTCAACTGCACCATTATAATTACAATAACCTACAAAATGGTGAGAGGGACTCATAAACCCACACTTACGGAGTGGGGCTGTAGCTCAGTGGTAGAGCACCCACCTCGCACATGTGAGGCACTGGTTTGATCCTCAGCACCATAATTTACCAAAGAAACCTGAGATCTGTAGGCCAAGATCAATAAAAATAAAGATATTGTGTCCAACTACAACTAAAAAAAAAAAAACCCACACTCATTGCAGTGACAGGATTTTCATTCTTGGAGCCACACCTAGTGTTGAGTGGCTGCAGGGCCTATAGGGGAAGCCGCTTGTTTCACAGTAATCTCGGTTGGGCCCCTTTATTATTCAACAAGCATTTGTGAGGTGTGTTTCACCTGCCCAGCCCTCAGCCTGCGTCAGGACAGGGAATACAGAGACTTGTGTGGGACTGAGTCTCAAGTTAGCATTCAAGGAAGTCTGGAATATGGAGACAGCTAAATCTGAATCTCTGGTTGTGACTTTCTTTGAACCCATTTATCTTTCACAAATGGGAATAAGGATTGAACTGAGGTTGAAGTGCCTGGCCCAGGGGTTATTATAATGGTGAGAGGTGGAAGATATGGTTCTGTGATTAATGATATGCATATACAGATGCGTTCAGGAGAGGTAAACAGATGTCTGCAACTTACTTTGAGACACATCAAAAAATACTATGGGTTTGGCAGACACAGATGCACAGAGGTGTGGTAAAGCAAGTAATGTACGAATAAACAAGTGGTGGAGTTTTAGCATTTCACCGTAATATTTCTTCTGCTTCTTCCATGTTAGACATTTTCATAACAAAATCTCTGGGGTTCAGGCAGATTTGGGTGTCTCACTATGTACTCACGTTGAACAGATAAGAAAATGGAGGAGTTGGAGAAGTGAGCCGCCTGTCTCTAAATCATCCAGTGACTCAGGTGTACTGAATTAGCTCCCGCCCTGCATGGGGTAGCCTGGAGCAAGTCTCAGAACCCGTCTGGTCTCACAACCAAAGCTTAATCCGGGACTCACAGCATGCCTCCAATTCTCAAAGGAAAAGGGTGTCACTTTCAAAGGGCAGTGGATCTCAGTTCATCAGGACCCCTACTGGGCCCAACACAGGCCCTTGGCCATCCCTTTGGCTGCTCCTCACCATGGGGCATTTCTCATACCTTACCCATTGCTTTTAGAGCAGCCCTGACAACACCTGTCATCAACTCTGAAGTTTGGTCAGGATTTCAAGGATGTCAGGGGCCAGAGCAGAGCAGGGAAGATGGACATTTGACTGGCAGCCATGACTAGATTTGGGGCTGGGCTTTTGTTGGCTCCTGCAAACCTAGCCAGGCTCATTCCAAGTGGCAAGATGTTAAGGTCACCCCTAAGAGGTCGGGTGTGTGTAGGAGGGGGGAAAGGTAGGTTTTGTTTGTTTCTTTGTTCAGCAAATCTTTCTTGAGCACGAAACGCTGGGCACATTATAGGGGTAGAAATATACCATAATTTACCAAAGAAACCTGAGATCTGTAGGCCAAGACCAAGAAGGGCAACTGAGACTAAGTGACTTATTGGCTTACTTGTTGTGTTTCCTAACAGACTGAGCCGTGTGGGCATTTTAGAGATGAGGAAATAGAAGTCCAGAAAGGTGAAGTAATTTACTCAACATCACACGGCAAAGTGGAAAGAGAAGAATGTAAAGGAGTTGACTGGTTTGAGTCAGGGCCATGCACAATTAATTTTTAAAAATACACTTTTAAAAATGTATGTCTTAATATTACAGGCAGTACCGCCAAGACATTAGAATGCCAAGGCTTAAAACGCATATATTATGGCTCAATCTCTCATTTATTCAGCACCTATTTATTGGGCACCTACTGAATGCACCAGCTTTTCTAGGGCCCCTCCGCCCCGGGAGGGCAGGCCTGGGCAGTCGCGGTTCCCGCTGGGCCCCCTGCGCCGCTCAGGGCACACAGTGGGCGCTCACCAGGCGATCCGCAAATGAACGCGTGAATCCAAGTGTCGGGCCGGCGAGGCGTTCCCGGCCCGGTGGGGCGGAAGCGGACCCGACACCACGGAGGCGTCCTGGGGCTTCTGGGAATCCCATCAGCGCGGCCCGGGAGGCCTCCGGGAGACCAGCGTCCTCGGCTCCGCCGCGACAGAGACGGACTCGGTAAGTAATCTAGCCACGACCGGGGGGCCCGGCAGGTCACCCCAAAGACGCCGTCGCCTTCCACTTGATCGGCTCGGACTCCGGATCCCTTCGCGGTCTCCTCCGGGGACTCATCTTCTCCTCCTCCATGCTAGACTCCCGTTTCCTTTTCGAACCTTCAATGCTCCCCTTTCGGTGCGTCGTCCCGCCGCTGGCCCCCGCCTCGGGGGGCGCGCCAGGGTGCACGGTGTCCCGTTCTAGGCGGGCCAGAAGCGGGGTCTGGGCGGCAAAGCCCCTCGGCTTCCCTCCCACTGCCACCCGGAGCGCAGCTCAGGGAGCGGACACAGCCGGAGCC